GCCTGGAAGGAGCTGGGGATAAAATGGGAATACAGCTGTCCTGGGATCAGCATCTTCAGGAGGTCTGGGAGGAACAAGGTTTAGGGCTGCCCAAGCTCCCTGCTTGCTGTCACTAGGATGCAGCCCTGTTTGGAGGATGGAGTGGGCACTCTGGAGTGGGGCTGGTTTCCTTGGGGTGTTGCCTAGGGCCATTTCCAGCTGGATTGGGATACCAGGGCAATGACTCCTTGGTCTGCTCTCCCCCAGCCACTCCTGACTGATGCCAGCAGGACCACCTCCACCTGGAAGGATTTCCGGAGGAAGCTGCGCCTGCTGGTGCCATACATGTGGCCGAAGGGCAACCACCTGCTGCAGGGCCTGGTGCTGTTCTGCATGGCACTCATGGGGCTGGAGCGGGCTATCAATGTCTTCGTCCCCATCTACTACAAGAACATTGGTGAGGCACCTGGAGCTTGATGTATGAGGCTTGCCACAGTCTCACCAAGTGCTGGGGGGGTTGAAGTGACCTGGAGGGCTGCAGGGGTTTGGCTGGAGCAGAGTCCAGGGTGTCAGGGTCCAGCACTGGCTACTGGGGCTGGTTCCCACAGGCACCCTGGGATGCTCCCCGTCCCTTCCTCCTGACCTTTGGTACACTTCCCTTGGCACACAGTGAATGAGCTGACAACGGGCACTCCGTGGCACACCCTGGCCTGGACTGTCTGCAGCTATGTGGGGCTGAAGTTCCTGCAAGGTGGAGGTGCTGGTAAGGACTATCGGGAAGGATGGGGTACTTGGCAAGAAATTATATTGGGCACATCTTACCAGTACTGGGGTAGCCAGGGAAGCCCATATGCCCCATCACTGCTTCTCTCTTGGAATCAGCAACCAGGGCAGGTCCCAGGTTAGGGACAGTGAGTGGGCTTCATCCCAAATCCCCCTTTCCTAGCTGGACTTTTGGAAGTCTTCTGCTTGCCCCAGTGGGGCTGATCTCAGTTGACCTTTCCATGTTGCCCTGCAGGCTCCACTGGCTTCGTGAGCAACCTGCGCACCTTCCTGTGGGTATGGGTGCAGCAGTTCACCAACCGGCAGGTGCAGGTGCAGCTCTTTGCCCACCTGCATGGGCTGTCCCTGCGCTGGCACTTGGGCCGTCGCACTGGTGAGGTCCTGCGTAGTGTGGACAGGGGCACCAGCAGCATCAACAGCCTGCTCAGGTCAGAGTGTGCCCATGGTGGGTGGGGGTTGGCCAGGCAGCTCCACCGAGCTGGGCTGATGCCCTATCTCCCCTCCCACCCCCCAGCTACATCGTGTTCAGCATTGTCCCTACCATTGCGGATATTGTCATCAGCATAGTTTACTTCACCTCGGTCTTCAGCGCTTGGTTTGGCCTCATCATCTTCGTGTGTATGAGCATGTACCTGAGTGAGTTGGGGAGGTCAGGGTGCAGGGCTGCCAGGCTGTGGGGTGGCAGGAGCCTTCCAATGTAACTTCCTCCTGTCCACAGCTCTGACCATCTTCATAACTGAATGGAGAACCAAGTACCGTCGGGACATGAACACGCGGGATAACGAGGCCAAGTCCCGGGCTGTGGACTCGCTTCTCAATTTCGAGACGGTACTGTAGGAGTTGGGGGGGGCCACTGAGGACTGCTTAGGTGCTGATACCAGCTCTGCTCCTGTAGGTGAAGTACTACAATGCAGAGAGCTATGAGGTGAACCGCTTCAACGATGCCATTGTCAAGTACCAGGTACGGGGTGCTGAGCACCTTTGGGGGCACCAAGGGAGAAGCAGCCAAATCTTATTGGCACTTGTGGGGATGATGGGAGATCACCATGGGTCTGGTTTGAAGGCAGCAAGATCCCACAGGACGTTGTCTCTTCCAGGTCTCAGAGTGGAAGGTCAGTGCCTCGTTGGGCCTCCTCAACCAGACCCAGAACCTGGTCATTGGCCTAGGGCTGCTGGCAGGGTCCCTGCTCTGTGCCTACTTTGTCACCGAAAACAAGCTGCAGGTAAGGCTGGTGCCAGCCTGTGCGGACTCCCACTGAGGTGTGGCCCTGGGACTGGTGGTTACAAATCCCTATACCCTATCCCTTCCAGGTGGGGGATTTTGTCCTCTTTGGCACCTACATAATCCAGCTCTACACACCACTCAACTGGTTTGGCACTTACTATAGGTAATTCTGGGAACTGTGGTGGTTCCTGGTGTCCCCCTCTCTGTGAGTGACTGATTTGGTATGTGCTCCTCCAAACCCTTTTCTCTGGTCTTTGCCCTCTTCAGGATGATCCAGAACTCCTTTGTGGACATGGAAAACATGTTTGAGCTCTTCAATGAGGAGCAGGAGGTGAGTGCCACCTTTCCTGGACCTTGCTCCCTCATTTGGCCCAAGATCCTACCCTAGGGATTGGCAGGCTCTGAGCCTGCGCCTCTGCTTTGACAGGTGAAGGATGTGGTGAACGCCAGTGACCTGCACTTGGAGGGTGGGCACATTGAATTTGAGAACGTGCACTTCAGCTACATGGATGGGTATGGGGTACTGGGCACAGGGTAGGACCTGGCACAGGAATGTGGGGCCATGGAGTGGCCCTGAGCCTCTCTCCATGTCCCTCTTCCAGGAAGGAAATCCTGCAGGACGTCTCTTTCTCTGTGATGCCTGGGCAGACTCTGGCTCTGGTGAGAGCGGGACTTGGAGTGTGAGTTCACTGTGGGAGGGAAGCATGGGGTTAGAGGCTGGAAAATATGAAGGTGGGAAGGACAGCCCTTTCCTGTCCAGCCCCTGGCCTCCAGCAGCTAGGAATTTGTCATCTCCAAGTCCCTTTTCCTTTGTGCAGGTGGGACCTTCAGGCTCTGGAAAGAGCACCATCATCCGTCTGCTCTTCCGCTTCTATGACGTACGGGGTGGCTGCATCCGCATTGATGGGCAGGACATTTCCCAGGTGAGGGGGGAGGGCCTCCAAGGACACACTAGTTTATCTGGGCTTCACAGCACTGCTCAGTGCCAGCACCAGCATCTCCCTAGGGCAGGGGTGAACATGCTGTGAGCCCCCACAGCCCCTTCGCAGAAGGGTGCAACTCTGGGACCCCAGGCTGAAATGCTGGGTACTAACCAGGGCTCCCTGGGAAGGACTAGGGCATTGTCAGGGCCCCTCACTGCAGAGTAGAGATACCTGTGGTGCAGGGCGACCCTACACCACATCGCTTGCAAGGAATGGGGCTCATGGCTGAGGGTAGGATTGGGGTTTGGAGGGATCTTTGCATTGGGTATGGGTCTGCCTGAGCCCTCTCCCCTGCCTCCCAGGTGAAGCAGGCTTCGCTGCGTGCTCACATTGGGGTAGTGCCCCAGGACACGGTGCTCTTCAACGACACCATCGCCAACAACATCCGCTATGGACGGATCCTGGCCACTGACCAAGAGGTACAGGAGGCAGCCCGGGCTGCTGACATCCACGACCGCATCCTTTCTTTTCCTGATGGTGAGACCCCTGCAGTTCCCGCCACTCATGGTCCCCTAAGACCTTCTAGCTGCCCTCACAGGTATCCTGGGGTGACATCTCCCACGGGGACACCTGCATGACTCTGTATCTTGCTTTGCCTTTCCCTGCCTTTTTTCCAGGGCTAGACCAGCCCCTGGACAGGGATGAGCTGAGGTTCTACCATGTGGCTGTGTGGTCACAGCAGGACCTCTCAGGGCAGCAGGTCCCCATCTCCATTTCAGAGGGCACCAGCACATCATGTTTCTGCTCTCATGCCTGCAGGATACAACACCCAGGTGGGAGAGAGGGGGCTGAAGCTGAGCGGGGGTGAGAAGCAGCGCGTTGCCATTGCACGCACCATCCTGAAGGGTCCCCACATCATCCTGCTGGATGAGGTAACAGCAGTGGCCCCAGCCCAGCCTCATCCAGCTCTGCAGCAGCTCCACACTCAGCAGCTGCCCACACTACCTCTATCCGTTCCCCATGCTGTGTCTCCCCTTGCAGGCCACATCAGCACTCGACACAGAGACGGAGAGGAACATCCAGGCTTCTCTGGCCAAGGTCTGCGCCCACCGCACCACCATCGTTGTTGCACACAGGTAGGGACAAGGGGAAAGGGCTCATCGGGGAGATGCTGGCCAGACCCCCCCAGAGGGGCACATAGACTTGCCCCCTACTCAAGAGGTGAGATCCCCTGGGATTGAATCTTCTGACACTCTGCAAACCCTCAGGAAGGCTCTCCCCCTCCAAGTCAAGGTAACACCTGCTTTTCCCTGTAGGCTCTCCACTGTGGTAGGTGCAGACCAGATCCTGGTACTTAAGGATGGGCACATTGTGGAGCGAGGGAGGTGAGCACAAGGGGAGGGTTGGGGGAGGGGATCCCCTCCCAAGCTCTGGGGCCAGCTCAAGACCCTGCATCCCTCCACTCTCCTCACAGGCATGAGGAGCTGCTGCAGAAGGGTGGTGTGTACGCTGGCATGTGGCTGCAGCAGCAGACCGGGGACGAGGGCGAGAGTAAAGAGCAGCGCACTGAGAAGCCTCAGGGGAGCAAGAAAGCATCATGAACATGACCAGGAGTTCTTCTGTGACACTGACTTGGGTTCAGGCCCCCACACTGCCTGGGAATCTTTTGCTGGCTGCAGGCAGAGTCCCTGCCTGCCCTAGAGCTGCAGGGGCTTGGCTGGACACTCCACTACATTTGTACATGTTTGTTTTGCTGTTGTGTAGTTTCTTAAACCAGGTCCTTCCCAGGTCCGTGCCTGTGTGCTCTTGGCAGGAACAGGCGGGGTTAGTGCCTGTGCCCTTGGGTCAGCCAGAAGCCCTGCAGCAAGGCTCAGCTCCTTGGGCTTAGGTGGGCAAGGGGTTGAGCAGGCTGTCAGCACCTACCCACTCCCCACACAAAGGGCTGAGGTAGGCAGGGGGCTGTTGCAGCCTAACAGCAATGGAAGAGCAGAGCAACTGGTATCCCCTCACCCCATGTGCCCCCCCACTTCAACCACCATCCACAGAGATATGCCACTTTGGGCTGGACACCAAGTGACTACTCCCTCAGGTACCTCTGTACCTTGTGCTATGCTTTTATTTTCTCCCAAGCAGCACTTTGACAAGTCTCAGCATTCCCTGGACCCAGCCTGAACCCCCCTCCCACAGCTGTTAAGGACAGCCCAGTCCTATATAGCTGCAGAACCCCTGCAAGAGGCCAGCAGGACAAATCCCCTCCACCCAACCAGGCTCTAGGCTCAGGGCTTTGTTTGTAAGGAGGCGTTCTATGCTACTGCTATCCTGGAGGGGATCCCCAGCAACACAACCGGAAGAAGGGAGGCATTCCTACCACAGCAGCATTTAAACAGGGCCCTGTTTAAGTTTAGGGCAGCAAAGAGCAGCCAGCAGCAGGAAGGCAGCTGTAACCATCCCATATGAGTGATGCTGGCATTCAAGCCACTGCCAAGGTTACTTATATTAAACCAGAAAGGAAATGCAGCTCCATTCAGTCTCAGAGAGGTCTTGTGCCCCAGCCGAGCAGGGTAAGGCCCAACATGCTCTTGTGCATGCAAACAGCAGGGAGGCACTCAGGGTGTGGGGAGTGGGAAAGGGGCTGCCTTCACGCTGCTGGGAGGCTGCACATTCAGCCTTGCCATGCCCAGGATGAGGGCATGGCAGGATGAGAGACCATCCCAGCCACATTTGGTCTTTGCTGAGGAGCTGGCATGGCCCTCCTCAGAACATGGAATCCAGGCCCCCACTACAGAAGGCAGCTACATTCCAGCTGTATGTCTGAGCATGCAAAGATGTCCCCACACAGCCCTGCCCTCTCCCCACAGTCCCAGCAGTGTTGGGACATGGCTGTGGCAACTGTGGATAAGTGCAGACCCTGGGCTGCTGCTTGCTTTGGTCAATGTGTACCCAGCCCCGTTCCTGTCCAGTCTTAACCTCCCCAGGAGCATCAGCAATTTGCTGCACTAATTTTATATAGGTACTAGGACTGAAGTGTCAGTGTATATTTGGTGGCTTACAGCTCCCAGGGAGATGAGCTGTCCTTGGCAAGGGGCTCTTGGTACCAGCGTCCAGGCCAGAGCCCTATGGCATCCATGCGGGAGGCCAGAGCCGCTCCTCGGGTCACATGTCCACTGGCACACCCTGCCTCACCTGCCTACGACATGCTGCAGTTTGATGGCTTTGAACCATGTGCCTGGAACAGAAAGAAACACAGTGAGCAAGGGGAAGAGGGCACATCCAGTGCTCAAGTTCCCAGAGCTGTGTCCTCAGCAGTGATGCTGCCACTGCCCCAGGCTGGGCTGCCCTCCTGGTGAGGCAACCTCAGCTAGACAGAGGCCAGAGTAAGCAGAACTCAGGGAAACCCTCCCCCCTCACACAGCTAGGCCAGGTTCAACCCCATGATAAAGCAGAGCCCATAGCCAACCTCACTCACCTGCCGTTGCGACTGCTGGTACTCGGCTTCACTTGCTGACAGTGCCTGGGCCAGTGCCAGATCCTCCTCCTCCTGTGTGCTGCTGGAACAGTGGTGCATTGTGTGCCTCAGCCTCCCTCAGGCTCACAGGCTGAGTGCTCAGAGCCCTTCTGGCTTTCAGCATCTCACTGCAACTCCTCAGCATATCTTAGGGCAGGGAGCAACTGAGGATAACTTTCAGCAGGCACGGGGCTGGGTAGGGAGCAAAGGATCCAGCTGGGGCTGGCAGCCAAAAATCTGGGCCAAGGAGAGCCATGTTAAATCCAGTCTGTAAGAATGCTTTTAGCAGCACTGGACACTGGGCCTGGGCACATGAACTCCTGGGTGTCCTCCCCTACTCCACCTATCACCCTCCAGCCAAACCCATTAGCTGACAAGTGGTCAGACAATGGTTTGCCCTACTCTGTGTGTCAGTCACTGTCCCCTACCAGCACCCCTAGGGCTGAGGGCATGCTTGCTGAAAAGAGATCCCTGTTGGCTCTGGACTCTTCCTTTTTTCCCGTCAATCACAGAGAGGCATCATATGGAAACACATGCTGATAGGAATGTTATCCCAGAGCCACGTGATGCTTCCCCAGGCACCTTTCACAAGCAGAGTGAGTGCACACCACACCACGTGTTTTGGGGCTGTACCTGGGTGGCTGTGCTGAGCTGCGTGCTGACTCTGCCAGGGACATCTCCAGAGCTCGCTGCAGTGCCTCTTCCTCACTCTGAAACAAAACACCTTGTCACCAGCTGGGCTGGGGGGGCAGGAAACAGCCCTGAAGTACATGTGGCAGGTACAGTCTTTCCTGGCCAAGGGTGGGCAAATCTCTCTTCAGGAGGCCAGACACAGCTAAGGTGAAAAACGAGCTCTGGACAGACTGGCAGTGCTCTCCCCTTGCCCAAGGGGACACATCCCTACTTGCTAATGCAGAAATATGCCAAGAATACCAGTGGAAAGCAACTTCTAGTCTCCTCCAGACCCAAGGAAAACGGCTGGTGCACTCTGTCCCTTTGGGGAAAGCTAAGCACCAAGCACAGCTGAGAGCTGTCATTCGCAGGCACCAGCACAAGCTCTGATTTCCCACAGAGCATTCAGGATCACTGTCTGCCAGGGAAGGCCTAGCTAGGAGCACAATCACCTACAGAGCATGAGCTAGAAAGCATTTGTTGCAGTCACTTCCTAGAGGGCACAGAAACCACCCCAAAAGCCAGGCCAAGCCACTCACCAGCCCATTCTGCAGCATGACAGCTGGAGGGGAGGTGCTGCGAGTCTGCGAGGCAGCTGTTCTGCCTCCCCTGCAAGCAGAAGAAAAGCTGCATTATTGTCAAGGCACGGAGCCCTATCAGTCCTGCTGAGGCACAAAAAGAACGGAGCTGTTGCTCTGGCATTTCACAGAGAGCCAAGCTGAGCGTGGTCATGCCCACCTCAGAATTACAAGTCAGGCCATCACCTTACCTGGCACAGGCTGGAGAAGAGGAGCTGTCTGCTGGCCGGGCAGCTCCGCTGCTTGATGCGGTGCCTATTTTGGAGGAGGATGCCTGGGCTCTGGTAACCGCAGCATGCCTAGGACAGATAGGACACCTGTGAGAAGCTGTTTTACCATGAGCAATTCCTAGGCATTGAACTCCTTGGGATATCAAGCTGGATAAGCGAGACCCCTCCTTGGCTCCTCTTCCTCCCATGTTGGGGCTGTTATTCCCAAGAGTTTCAAGAGCTATTTCTCTCCCTGAAACCCTGTACCAGGACAGGCAGAAACCACTGGCTTACACAATAAGGGGTTGGGGAAAGAAGCAAGAACAAAGCAGTCAGCAGGCAGTACTGAAGGCTTCTGCTGCATGAGAGACTGTGCATACTGGTGTGCTTGGTGCTACAGGTAGACATCCTGGCACACAGGGCAGGGAGTATGAGAATGCAGCAGTACCAGACAATGGGTCAGGAGGAGCTGGACTTTTTCCCTGTCACCCATACAGCAAACACAGCCCCACCCCTCCCGGCCTGTCTGTTCTCAGACCCTCACCCTGCTTTGGAAAGGGGATGCCCTGCCCCACTGCAGTCATGGTCCAGGGGGTGCCGGTGCTTGAGGCAGTAGTTCTTGTGGCACTGGTCACAGATCACCTTCATCATCTCCTTCTGCTTGCAGCCAGGCTTCAAACACTTGTTGGTGAAGATCTGAAAGATGACACAGCAATGGTGAAAAGGAGCACATGCTGCGGGGCTGGGGCTGTCCCTTCTCTCCATGCCAGGCCCTGGGCACTGACCAGCCTTCCCCACCAGTGTATCTTGTGCAACGCTCTGAAATTTGTCTCTGAATACTTTCTTTAGATGTTTCTGAATAATTTCTTTACCTAGTTCATTAGTAATTCACTGGTGCTTCAGTGTCTATATACAAGAGTCTCCACAACCACAGAATGCACAGCAGGAGAAAGTGCCTTGCCCAGGGACTCCTGCCTTCCATGACAGTGCAGTGGGGAAAGCCCAGGGCATTCCAGCTACTGCTGGGCTGGGTTCCTGCAGGGCTAGCTCCCTCCAGCAATTTAATCTCCTGGCAAGATGGAGTAGCTAATTGAGATTGCATTTTCCTGATAGCAGCATGCAGTTTCCCATCCTTAAGTCCTAGGTGGCTGCCCAGCCCCACTCCATCACCACCTTGCTCCCAGACTGCCTCCACAAAACCCTGCAGATGCGCATACCTCCAGCTTGCCAACCCTCCCTGCCATCAGCCTGTGCCAGAGATGGCACCAGGAAGGGCTGAATCCTGCTGCTTTCATCCCATTTCTAGGCTCCATCAGAGAGCTGGCAGAGCCACACAGTGTACATACCTTGCGCTTGCGTTGTGCAGGGTCAGACTTGCAGTCACGGTCAATGTGCTCACCCACCACAACATCAGGCATCTCCCCCCGCCTCACAGGGACTGGGGTGTTGCAGAGAGGACACACTGGGACCTGCACATCCTGAAGAGACAACAAAAGGCAGCTGGGAGCAGGTAGCTGGGCTGCAGTTTGAGATCTTGCTCATGACCCTCGAACCAGCTTGCACAGCACATGCAGAGGCACAGACATACACTCTGGGAAGGGAAGATGGTACGACTGGGAGATGCCCAAACCACTTCACCCAGTGGAAGAGAGAGGGCTGGATGTTTGTGACACTGAGATGCAGATCCTGGCTTTCAGGTACATCCTCAGACTCAGTATACATCCCAAGGGGGACTGCGCAAGCAACCAAAACCACCAGAGATTATTATAATCGGTGGCTAGAAAAGCTCAGCAGCTCCATGCAGGAGGGTGGATAAAATCTGCTCTCTGCACTTACCTTCTTGTAGGCAGAGGTGCAATCATGCTGGGCATAAGCGATGTGGTCTGTGCAGAAGATCTGCTCGCAGGCATCGCACTTCAGAGGAAGGAAGTCTAGGAGCAGGACATGGCATGGGCAGAGAGCATGGAGATCAACACTGCCCACCCGTAGCCCGGGAGCCTCCCCGACTTCTCGAAGGCACAACAGTAACCCATGGCAAAGCCAAGGCTGCACCTCTCATCCCCCAGCACGAAAACAAAAGGGCCATAGCCACGTCTTCAGAAATACCCAGGACTCCTCCTCAAAACGTGTCGCCTCGAGACCAGGAGTAGCCCTTGGGCTGCCGGCCTCAAACCGGTGGGAAGTGATGCTGCCACAGCCGCCACGGGTTTCGCCCACCGGGATAACGGACGGGTCCCAGCGGCCCCGCCGCGTGCGGCCTCCCCAGCCTGCAGCAGCAAGGCCCGGCAGCGGGGGTGCCTGCCCGGGTCCTGCCCCGCTATCCCCTGGCAAGAGCCGCTGCCTACCCGGGAAGAGCCGCGTACCGGGACAGAGTCACCGGCGAAAACCTGGTCTTACCGGCACGGACAGCCAGCCCCGCCCTAGTGGGGTGCCCGCGGGCAGCGGGAAGGGCCAGGGACCCCTCCGCCAAGGGCAGCATGGGTGACACGGCCCGCCCTTCAAGCCCCGCTACCGAGCGGCTGCCCGGCGCCGCCCCGCCGCAGGCCGGGCTGCCCGGTCCGTGCCGCCCAGGGCCAAGCCCGCGGCCGTCTCGCCAGCTTGTGAGCCGTACCCACCCCCCCGGGTCCCCCCGGCGCTCACCCAGGCGCTGGCAGGCGGGCCAGGAGCAGTGCGCGCCCAGGTCCGGGAACTCCATGGCGGCACTACCGCCACCAGCACCGGCGGCCCCGCCGCGCTCGCTTCCGGCGGGACGTCGCGGGGCGGGACCAAGCACAGCCCCGCCCCGGCGGGCCTCGCCCCGCCCCGCGGCTCAGGGCAGCTCCCGCACCCCTCCGTGTGCCCTTCCTCCGGGAGCGCCGCTGGGACCCGTGGGAACATCAGCTTCAGAGGCCTGCCCCGGCGCTGGGGGAAGGCTCAGGGCAAGGCGGAGCCCACGAGGGCCAGCGCCAGAACCATCCTGCCCTGCCAGGCCGGCAAGAAGTGTCTCTGCCCCCTGGGACAGCTTGAACTTTTCCCTCCATCCTTCCTCCCCTGCCCCAAGGGACATAAGCCACGGATCCTGCCGTGTAACAGAGCTCCCGGCTCTATTCCAGTCAACTCGGAGTCTCCAGGTGCCATGCTACGATGCCTAGCAGATCACAGATGGAGTGCTGGAAGGGTCAGTGGTGCGGAAGGCAAGAGATGCCACGGCAGCAAGAAACTGGAGTACTGAACAGGGCCAGGAGTGAATTTCATTGACTGCAAAAAAAATCAACTCCACAGCCACCCAGTAACAGAACTCAAATGAGGCAGGGAAAAAAAGCAGGTATGACCCAACACCCTGTTCCAGCAGTGACACAAAGGACAGTAACAGTCTGCAGAAGAGATCTCTTTGCACAACACCCGTCTGCCCTTGTCCCGTTACTGCTACCCTCTGCTCCAAAGACCCCTTTCCCTTTGCTTGCCCCTGAGTGCCACATTTGACTGTGCATCTCATCCCTCCCCCCAGACAAAACCAATGAAAATTAAAATTATTTACACTTTTAGCCATTTAAAAACCCAATAAAATAAGATTGCATATGTCCTACTGGGGATGTGGGTATTAGCAGCAGCTACAGCTAGCTCGGTACTCAGCGTGCAAAACAAAGACAAACAGAAGACAGACCGAAATACTGCACCATTACTAGGAAGCGTTTGCTGGGGTTGGTGTTTCAATTGTGGTGTAAGGCTTCTAGGAGCTGGCTCCTCCCCAGCTGCAGGGCCTCCTGCTCAGCCAGTGAAGGCCAGGCTCTAGAAGGATGGAAAGGATTAATTATTCCAGAAACAGCACATTAACACTGATGCGTTTCCATCCCAGTCAACACAAACATCTAAAAACCCACTGCACATTCACTGTGTGAGTTTTTCCTTCTTTCCAGTGATGATGGAGGAAAAGGGGAAGCACAGGTAAGACCTAAGACATAGATGCTGCTGTCATCACTGCCTCTTCCTCATCTCCTTGCTTTGGCAGCTCAGCAAGCATGGGAGAGGAAGGAGACAGAGCAGCCTCTTGTGTCTCCTGCTCCTCTCCAAACCCCAGCTCTACATCCATTTGCTCCAGCTCCCCCTGATCCAGTAGCTCAAAGTCATCTGCTTCCTCCTCATCCTCCGGTGAAGCTTCTGTCTCTGTCTCCACCACTTCACTCTCTGACAGGTGTGCTTGGAAGCTCAGTTTCTCTTCAGGCTCTGTGGGGAGGAACTCGGAGAGGGGGGGTCCCTCACTGGCCTCTGAGGACCGCAGGAGGGCAGAGAGGGTGTTCTGCACCGCTGTGGTGATGGCAGTGGTGACGATCTCCTCGCTCAGCGTGTTAATGCAGATGCCCAGGCCTGGGGCAGGGACAGTCTTTGGCTCTGCGTTGTCTCCTGCCGCTTGCCCACTCCCATTGAAGTGCGTATTTACAAAATGGAGAGGAGACGCGAGGCGAAGGATGGAGAGGTTAGAGTCTGTGGCCTCTTTGTCTGCTGAGTCCAGCTCACAGGCAGCGTGGGCAAGCTCAGGACCCAGAGGCACATCAAACGCGTCTTCATCACTCTGTGGTCCCAGGTCTCTGGAATGATATTCTTCCACGGATGGAAACTCTGCCAGGTCCTTGGAAAATGACTCCTCCGGCTCACTGTGCAGGCTCTGCTGATCCAGGTCTGAAAGGCACCAGCATTAAGGTACAGGTTCCCTCACCTTGACCTCCCACCCACCTTTCCCCAGCTGACACACCACAGCTGACTTTAAGGTACCTTCCCCCTCCTTGGAGCACAGCAGAAGAGGTCTGCATTTACTCCCTTCTGTCAGTGGCATGATTCACATGGAATGTTTGTTTTGGGATCCTGTTCTATGTGCTCTGTGCTCAGAGAGGACTTCCTGTTCCAGCTCATGCTCTTTGCATTTAGAGCCCCCCATTAAAACTCCCAAGGTCAGGGGAATTGCGCTTACATCGCCTACCTTCTCCTTCCCAGAATAACAAGTGGCTACTGAGTGGTTACCTCCATGTTCCTCACCACTAACCAATCCCTCTCTGATCTACTAAGTCTGACCTGTTTCACCCAGCATCATACATGGGGTGTGTGACTATCTCATTGAGTTATTTCTGTGGAACTTTGTGGGTGGCCTTGCTCCCTTGCTGGAGTCACAAGTCACAACATTGCTTTGTAGGGCAGTAATTAGAGGTTGATATCCACTTAGGACCAGCTTACGATGAGCCATCAAGTCAGGGCATGCTGCACTGCTTTTCCTTCCTCCTTCAATGCTCTTTCCACGCAAACAGCTGGGTTCTCTCCCTGTCCCCCCATTTGTAAGACCCATCGTTCTGTGCCAAAACACTGAGGATAAGGGGACAAGAAGGTGTCCCATCATGTACCTTCAGAAACGTCCGTCAGCTGTGGGGTGGTAGCCCTTGAAACAGAAAAGCCCCCACTCTCTAGGATAGAAGCCTCCTCATCAGAGAGCTCAGAATCTGTGATTGACAGTGCCAGGGCAGTTTTCTTCACATCCACCTGCATGGGATGAAGGCAGAGAGACAAATTCCTGTGTGTCTACGTACCCATGCTGCTTATGGGCACCTCCAGACCTTCCAGGCAGAAGTCCTTGCTGGAGGGACAGTATGCTGGCAAAGTGCTCCCTGCACCAGAGGGAAGGGCAGTCTCAGCTCACTGGCTTTCCTGCAATAAATCACTGACCAAAGGTTTGCCTGCTCTCAGTGAAGAACATAAGAGGCAGCACAAGATGAGATGAGACTGTAGGAGAGTCTCAAAAGGCTTTGATCCTTCTTCCTCTCCTGGGATCACCAAGGAGAACACCTCTTTCCTTTTGCATTCATGCCGAGTGCAACAAAGCCTTCTACATGCAGCAGTGGTTCAAGTATTCACATTCCTTTGGAAACAAGCTTCCCACCTCACAGCCCAACTACATGCCCAGAGCTGCTGCTTGGTTTGTTTCTGCAGTGCAAATATAGAAACGTCACACACAATCTGTCTGAAAGCACAGAACTGCGTAAGAGACACTAGAGCTGCTCAACTCCCTTTTCTGGTTTTGAGGAGCCCCTGCAGGGGGAAGGTACATTACAGCAGGGGAGGAGTTAATTTCTTCAGGAGACACTCACATTCTCTGAGCATGAAGCATAACCATCTAAGTAATTTTGAGATCAGCAGGAGGCTGGGACACGGCTGGCTCTGCCCTGCTATGGCATCACCAGCTCTGTGGCACTGAATTCTCAATACTCAGACTGGAGACGATAGCCTTCATCAAACACACGCCCTTCTCCCCTTAGAATTCTGCAAAGAAGTTGTTTATTGCTCTGCTGCGTGTTATCATTGTTGCTGTACTCAGACCACCCCTTGGCTCTCAAGCTGCTATAGACCAGAGAGGAGGGACTGGCTCCTGCTAAGCTCTTACCACTGGGGAGAAGCCCGACAGCTCTGCTTCGCTCTCACTCTCTGTCTCTGCTGTTGGCTCATCACCTGCTGCAGGCTCGCTCTTCCCTTGTCGCTCTGTGAGAAAGAGAAGAAAGGCTTTACATGACACTGAAGGAATCTTCTGACTTTATGTATCACTTTCCCCTACTTTCCCTGTGAAAGTGCACAGGGTTCCTGGAGACAAGCATAATCTGTTGCTCTCACGTGCTGTTCTCAGGATCACCTGGGAGCACGCAGTTGCTCTCCACATAAAAGTTTCCACCTCTCCTCCCCTGCTCCTCTGCAGCCTGTCACCACACAGTGCTGGCAGGCATGGTCTCCTATGATCCTTTTGCTACAGCTCCAACCTATGAATACAGCACCAGAAAAAGCTTGAGAAAAGATGGTTCCTTACTCTTCTTCTCATGCTTGTGGTGCAGCGTCTCTGCCTTCATACTGTAGTCCAGTTTCATCAGGACAGGCTCCAAACGTGTGTACATCCTCTGGATCAGCTCATGGTAGACCACCAGAGGCCAGAGCAGAATGCTGAGCACTGTGGACATGGAATGTAAGAAGTGTGAGAGACAGATCAAGCACAATCTGACTCTTCCTGTGGTGCCATTGAGAAAGTCTTCAACGGAAACACATTTCAATGGCATGTGCTTTTCCATCTGACTGCCTAAAAATCCTCATCCATGGCTCTTCTTACTCATTGCAAAGCTGCTTGATTAACCAGGTTTTACTGCCAGATCTTAGATAGAATATAGATTTATGTTAAGATGAAGCATAAGTCCTTCTCTTCAGCTACTCCAGACCTAACATGCAACAGAAGCCCTGAAATGAGCTTAAATGATAATTAGAACTAAGTATTACCAAAACTTTTATACAGGTAGCTGCATAGAGGTCATGTGTAGATGCACTTGCAGCAGAGCATGAGAGCAGAGTTATTAGGGACTCATGACGCAGTGAAAAAGGTATATTTACCCAACATGCAGCTTTTTTAACAACACTCTCGATATGGACTTGCCCACATTAGGAACTGAGAGACTGCAACTTCCTGCTTCCCTGGAGCCTCGGCCAGCACAGCCACAAGAGTGGGGAACAGAGGGCACCAATGTTTTAGTCACAGCTCCCTCTCCTGCCTTTGCAGTCATACTGCATGCACGCGCTTACAGAGACTTCCTGGAACACATTCCCTGTAAATTGATTCATCATCTAGCACAGATCCCCTTGAGTAAACTACAAATCTGCTTTTACCAGCCTATCAACAGCACAGTTAGGTCATGTCTCAGCTTAAGTTAGACA